GGAAGTCGACTTTGTGTAGGTCGACTTAAACGCTAGAAGGCGAATAAGCATTCAGAGAGCCTTGGATATACAAACGGGACCATAAGTCGACTCGATGAGGCTCCGAATCAACTTAGAGTACCTCTGACGACTCACATTTACCTCGATATCGAAGTAAGGCCTCCTGAGCTAGAGAATCTGTATGAGATAAGAAGGAATCTAGGTGCTGACTCAGAGAGTGGGCATAATGTGAACCGACCGGGGCATTTTGGACACTTCATGTAAGTCGGCCAAGGCATTTCAGGTATTTCCAGTAAGCATTTCTACCCTTATATAAAGGAGTAGAGGTGACTCCAAACCCTAACTTTCATTCTCTCCATTCATTATTTAGCTGATGCTCCTACTGAGCAAGGCTCACTTCTTCTCTCTCACTGACTTAAGCGTCGGAGGCTCTTCACCGGAAAACACTTCCGGTGTTGAGTTCTTGCAGGTGTTCGTAGCGGTTCACGGGCGACTTAGAGACGACTCAAACAGACCGGAGCTCATTTCCACCGGTTCACCCCAAATCTAGGAGGAGACCCATCAAATATTATGTTGCAGATGGGTTTTCACAGGAATTTTGTCAATCTTGTTATAGTGTGTATCTCTACATGTTCTTACTCTTTCAAGATCAATAGCTCTGTCAATAGCTTTGTGATTCCTACCAGGGACTTAAGACAGGGGGATCCTCTATCCCTCTATCTTTTCCTTATTGTCATTGAGATGTTATCTACCTTGGTTACTCATGTCGTTGCCTCAGGTGCTTTGACAGGGTTAAAAATCTCCAAGAATGGACCTGCAATATCCCATGTTCTCTTTGCAGATGACTCTCTGTTCTTCTGTAAAGCAGCATTGACCAATCTCAGACTCTCTTGACTATCTTGGAAAAGTATAACCTATTCATAGGGCAAGTTGTCAATCTGAGAAAATCTACTATCTTTTTTAGTAGAAACACTCCAAAGCACACTTAATCCATCATTTGCTCCACTCTGCATGGAATTACACCTCACAGATCAACCAAATACCTGGGATTACCATTGGGTATAGGAAGATCTAAGGTGGATAGTTTTAAATATATCTTGGATGCTGTCTCAACCAAACTCCGTAGTTGGAAATCCAAGCTGCTCACTCAAGCTGGGAAAGTTGTGCTCATTAAAGTTGTCCTATAAGCACTTCGAGTGTTTACTATATCCTGCTTCAGAATCCCAAAATCTTTGTTTACAACAATCACATCTCGTTGTTCTAAATTCTGGTGGAGCACCTCAGAAGAGCATTCTAATGGGATCCACGGGACTGCCTGGCATAATATTACACTCCCAAAGGATCAAGGGGGTTTGGGCTTCCTAGATTTGCAACTTTTCAACTCTGCTCTGATATGCAAACAACTTTGGAGGATTACTACTCAACCTACCTTACTAGTGAGTAGGTTACTGAAGGACAAATATTTCCCCAATTGTTCCATCTTTGATACTGTCAAACCAAATAACTGCACTTGGCTTTGGTCAAACTGGATGACAGTCCTTCATACTTTTGCTCAAGGCTTTGCTATAAAGGTCAGAAATAGGGCATACACCAACCTGGATGATATCAATTGGGTGCCAAATCTCAAGCAACCCAGACCCAACCTCATTGAGATTGCCAGAGGACACCTGATCAAGGTTAATGAGTTGTTCAATGATTTTGGCTGGGGTTGGACCTCTTGGCTTGTTAAACAGGTCTACAATGAGAAAGGCAGCAAGGTAATTCTCCAAATTGACACTCTTAACCCTGGCTTGGCTGATAAGATTTTTTGGAAGTTTCACAAAAAAGCTCCTTCTCTGTCTCAAGCACTTACTCCTACCTCTGCCAACAGAAGCTTTATCATCTTGATATTCTTAGTTCCAGCTCTCTTAATGGTCAAGAATTTTCTAAGGCCACTCAGAGGCTTTGGAAGTTAAAGGTTGAAAAAAAAGGTCAAGCTCTTCATTTGGAAATGCATCTCAGGTTCATTACCTATCAAGACCAACCATAGAATAAAGGGGTATGGACATAGATGTAATCTGCCACCACTATGGGGCTGCTCCTGAAACTGTTAACCATATACTCTTTCACTGTCCCAATGCTGAACTTGTGTTGAAGATCTCAACAGTGAACTCGGATTCAAAACACCTGCAGGAGAGCTCTTTCAGTTGCTGGTGGAAATTTATTTGCTCAGTGGGCAAGGCAGGGACATCAGAGGATTGAATCCAACTAACAACCTACATTCTCTGGTGGCTCTGGAAGACCCGCAATCTTAGCCTCTTCCAAGACAAACAAATGCCACCTCATTTGGTGGTAAAAGCTGCTCAGAATGGTTGGATTGCTTTCTCTGCAGTTTGATGGAAGGGCGGTTGTCTTTTGGTCCCTTGTTGTTAGTTTTTTGATGTATTTTGCTGTTTTTGTTTTTCTGCTTTTGGTTTTCTGTTTCTGGTTGGTACTTTTAGTTTGTTCACCCTCTTTTCCTCTAGGCATTTGCAGTGGAGGTTATTTTCCTTGGGTCGGTTGTTACTTTATTTTGTAGTTGTCTGAGGTTCTAGGCCGCTTCAAGCGTGTCCTCTCATTTTTAT